ATAATCCATGGGCACCAACCACATGCACCCTACATCCACAGGCATTGGCATCTGAAGTGTGAACTGTAAGAACCCTGATGGCACATCTCCAGTCCACTTACAGGTCGCTCTGCACTTCACTGCTGCACTGGCAGTTATTATTGTAATGTTGCAGCAGGACACTTTGCACACAGGGATTTCCACCCAGCTCGTGGATTGGATCAGGTTTCACCTCCAGTGTCTTTGCTTACTGTCATTGCATGTAATCAAGCTGAGCCCACGTTTATGCTCACAGCATCCCCGACTGCCTTGCATTGTCTTTTTGCAGTTTGCCCCATCAGCCCGATAGGTAGACAGAGTAAATGAGGTAGGATTAATTAGTACACTCATTGTAAAAACTCGACTGGGAAATAACAATAATTATACAACTAAATTCCACATTAAGCATCTCAAACTTAAACAAAAGTCAATTCTTTAAGTACAAAAGGCAAACTAACTAAGATTGTTTGGGTTATCAGATTAAAAGGTATAGCAATAAACAGTGGAAGTACAAAACTATGGAGAGACAGTGGCAAAGTGGCAATATCACGGGGCTGATAAACCTGAGGTCCAGGCTAATACTCTGGCTTCAACATGTGGAAAAAAAACTAGGCACTTCTGGTTTATATGCGACTCCATTTCCACAGCAATATGGCTGAATCTTAAATGCCTTCTGAAAATTGTTTTTGATTCATTCACGGGATGTGGGTGTCGCTGGCTGGGCAGCATTTATTGCCCATCCCTTATTGCCCAGAGGGTAGTTATGAGTCAACCACATTGCTGTGGGTCTGGAGTCACATGTAGGTCAGACCAGGTAAGGATGGCAGTTTCCTTCCCTAAAGGGCATGAGTGAACTAGATGGACTTTTCCAAACAATCAGCAATGGCTTCATGGTTACCACTAGACACTTAATTCCAGATTTTTATTGAATTCACATTCCGCCATCTGCCATGGAGGGATTCGAACACGGATCCCCAGAACATTACCTGGGTCCCTGGATTAACTGTCCAGCAATAATACCCACTAGGCCATCATCCAAAATGGCTGACAAGACACTCGTTTGTACTGGAAATACTTCAACTCCTTATTTTTCTACCAAAGTGCATAACCTTACATTTTCCACTTTATATCCTAGCTGCTAAGCTTTTGCCCACTTGCTTAACCTGACTGTATCCCTCTGTTGAGCCTTTACATCTTCCCCACTTGCCTTCCCTGCTATTTTTGTTTTATTTGCAAACTTGGTGATAGTACATTCACTTGCATCACCGAAGTTACTAATATATTTTAAGTAATTGTGATCCTTGTAACACTCCACTAATTACAGGTCACCATCCTGGAAATGCCACCCTTCTCCTAGCAAATCCCCAATCCATGCTGTTATACCGCTTTGCAACACTATGGGCTCTTTTCTAATTAAACGGTGATCCTTTACTGAAGGCCTTTTGAAGTTAGAGTCATAGAGTCATAGAGTTATACAGCACGGAAACAGACCCTTTGGTCCAACTTGTCCACGCCAACCAGATACCTAAATTAATCTAGTCCCGTTTGCCAGCATTTTGCCCATATCCATCTAAACCCTTCCTATTCATGTACTCATCCAGATGCCTTTTAAATGTTGTAATTTTACCAGCCTCCACCACTTCCGGCAGCTCGTTCCATACATGCACCAACCTCTGCGTGAAAACTTTGCCCCTTAGGTCCATTTCAAATCTTTCCCCTCTCACCTTAAACCTCCAAAAATACTACAACTCTTACCTATTCTCTTTGTCACCTCCTCAAAACAATTCCAATAAATTTGTCAGTAACTATTACTCCTTCATGAAACCATGTTGACTCTGCTTGATTATATTATGAATTTCTAAATATTTGCCATAACATCCTTTATAATACACTTTAATATTTTCCCAACAACCGATATTTAGCTAACTCGTCTATAGTTCCCTGTTTCTTTTTTGTCTCATTCCCTTTTTGCATAAAGATGTTACATTGGCAGTTTTCCAATTGTCTGGGGCTTTTCCAGAATCTAAGGATTCCTGGAAGATTCACTACTAATGCATCCATTACCTCTGCAGCTACTTCCTTTAATATCTTAGGTTGCATTCCATCAGGTCCATAGGACCTATCAGCTTGTAGCCTCATTAGTTTCCCTAGTACTTTTTCTCTAGTGATAGTTATTGTCTTTTGACCCTTGATTATTTCATAATTTTGGAATGCTATCAGCCATGAAGACTGATGCAAGGTATTTATTCAACTCTTCTGCTATTTCCTAGTTCCACCTTTTTATTTCCCCAGTCACAATCTCTAAGAGGTGAAAGTTCAATGATTTCTCACTTCCTTTTTACAAATTGAAAGAATCTCTTACTGTCTGTTGACATATTATTTGCACATTATTTTTCTCCTTTTTTGTCATCTTTTGTTGGTCTTTAAATTTTTCTTTCCTCTGGCTTACCACTAATCTTCGTCACATTGTACTGTCATAGAGTCATAGAGCTGCACAGCATGGAAACAGACCCTTCGGTCCAACTCGTCCATTTCAATGATTTATCCTAAATTAATCTCGTCCCATTTGCCAGCATTTGGCTCATATCCCTCTAAACCCTTCCTATTTATGTACTCTTCCAGATACCTTTTAAATGTTGTAATTGTACCAGGCTCCACCACTTCCTCTGGCAGCTCATTCTGTACATGCGCCATCCTCTGTGTGAAGACGTTGCCCATTAGATCACTTTTAAATCTTCCCCCTCTCACCTTAAACCTATGCCCTCTAGTTTTGGACACGTGGGGAAAAGACCTTGACTATTCACCCTATCCATGCCCCTCATGATTTTATAAACTTCTATAAGGTCACCCCTCAGCCTCTGATGCTCCAGGGAAAATAACTTTAGCCTCTTAAGCCTGTCCCTATAGCTCAAACCCTCCAACTCTGGGAGCATCCTTGTAAATCTTTTCTGAACACTTTCAAGTTTAACAACAAGTCATTCCTAGAGCTGGGAGACCAGAATTGCACGGAATAATCCAAAAGTGGCCTATCCAATGTCGTGCACAGCCGCGACATGACTTCCCAACTCCTATACTCGATGCACTGGCCAATAAAGGCAAGCGTACCAAACACCTTCTTCACTATCTATCTGTGACCCCACTTTCAAGGAACTATGAACCTGCCCTCCAAGGTCTCTTTGTTCAGCAACACTCCCCAGGACCTTACCATTAAGTATATAAATCCTGCCCTGATTTGCCTTTCCAAAATGCAGCACCTCACATTTATCTAAATTAAACTCCATCTGCCACTCCTCATTTGATAAAGATCCCGTTGTACTCTGAGGTAACCTTCTTTGCTGTCCACTACACCTTCAATTTTGGTGTCATCTGCAAACTTATAAACAAACATATATAGGAGTCATGGTTAGTATGTTTTATCTTTCAATTTGTTGCTGTCCTTTACTTCCCTGTTAACTATGTTCAGACAGTGACACATGGGTGTACTTAAAGAACACAAAATGTTAGCTTCCAGGTACAGAAAGCTGCTCTAAAAACAACTGGGTTTGGAGGGTAAATAGTGGGTACAATTACAATGTTTAAAAGACATGTGGATGGATAAGTACATGAATAAGAAAGGTTTGGAGGGATATGGGCCAAGCGCAGGCAAATGAGACGAGGTTAGTTTGAAATTATGCTCGGCATTGACTGGTTGGACCGAAAGGTCTGTTTACGTACTGTATGACTCTATGATTCTACGAAAAGAACAAAGACACCTTGCTACGATTGTACAAGACTTTGTGAAATAGTGTATGCAGCTTTGGTCTCCATATTTATGGAAGGGTATGCTTCTATGGGAAATGGCACAGCAAAGTTTCACTAGATTAGCACATGGGATGATTTAAGAGACTTGAATATATTCTCTGGAGTTTAGACGAATGAGAGGATATTCCATTAACACATTAAACAGCCTAAAGGAGCTTGACAGGGTAAATGCTGAAAGATTCTTTCCCGAGATGAGAAATCTAAAACACAGGAGCACTGTGTCTCGAGATGAGGGACTGGTCATTGAGACAAGGAGAATTTCACTCAAAAGCTTGTCAATCTTGGGAATTCTGTACTCGAAAGGGTTGGGAATGCTGCATAGTCAAATACTTTTAAGCTTGAGATTGAGAATTTTGGCGATATGGGATTGGGCAGGGAAGCCCAAAATCAGCCAGGATCACCGGGAATGGAGGAACTGTTTCAATGAGCCAAATGCTCTGTTTCTCTTCTAATTTCTTATGTTCTCAGCTGGAATCAACGTGCTTTCCAATATTTGCTGTTTCAGGACTGAATAAGGAAGCTGTTGTCTGTATGGTGTTATTTGTATCCTGGTGTTGCATCAGGCCACAGATATCAGTAACAACCAGAGGTCTACAGCACAAGAAAAGGTCCTTCGGCCCATCAAGTCTGTGCTAGTCAAAAACAACCATCTAACTAGATTAATCCCATTTCCAGCACCTGGCACATAACCTCACACAGAGACTGGTGAATGGAGAGGAGGCGCTTAGAGTCATAGAGTCTTACAGCACGGAAACAGGCACTTGCACAGGCTGCTCCAATAAGGTCATGTTTACTACATGGTCAGCTTTTCTTGGTATTACTCAAATGAATTTCATGCCCAAAGTGCCTTCCTTGATTTCCAGCACCTGAGGAAGTCGTTTCTATTTATCTCAGTACATCCTTTTAAATACCTCACTCTATTCACTCCTCAATCTTACCCTAGAACGAAACAGAAGCCAATATCATAATTTCCATATCACCTCAGCTGATCATGACATTTTACTAGTTTCTCTTACTGTGAGAGAAAGTATCTGGAAAACTGGTTCATGAGCTCTGCAGCCTCAGGAGGATCAAGGAAATGAATATATTGAATATATTCACTGAAACAGAAATCTCCATTGTCTCAGTGAATGGGAACCAAACATAGGAAAACATCATTGCAACAGAAACAAAACACTTACCCAAGTCTTTTATCAAAACCGATCTCTTCTACTCCACGTGGTTATATTTCATTTCTCAATCTCATTCCTTCCCTTTAATCAGGCCAGTTGTGTCGACGCTAGCCCTTAAAGTGAGAAAACATTAACATAAATCAACTTTGGAACAAGTCTCTTTGATTTCTGCACAGTAGTTAACAATCACCGCCACTTTCCACATGAACTGCCTGAAACTGCACTTTGTTCTTACTGAAGGCTGGACCAGCTCATCCGTGCTCTGAGCATCTTTCCAATCGAATTGCATCAACTCCCTATCCGCTCCCATTGTACAGGGGCCCTGAACCGAGAGCAATCCTAATCCAAGCGGAACATTCCTTGGCAACTTTGTTTTGTACTTATCACAATTTAATTCTGGCTGTATTCCTTGGCAAAATATTGGACTTTATTTTTCAAGCACCAAAAAGCTTGCATTTCTGTAGCCCCTTTCACGTGGTAATGCACTTCACATGGTGAATCTGACACTGAGCCACAAAGGGCGATGCAAGGAAAAGTGACCAAAAGCCAGGTGTCTTTATAGGAGAGAAAGTTTAGGGAGGGAGTTTGAGAGTTTAGGACTAATGAAACCATGACTGTTAAAGGTGCAGTAACTAAACTAAACTGGTATACATGGATTTAAGTAAGGCATTTGATAAGGTTCCCCATGGCAGGCTCATGCAGAAGGTAAGGAGGCATGGGATAGCGGGAAATGTGGCAGATTGGATTCAGAATTGGCTGACCCTTAGAAGACAAAGGGTGGTAGTGGATGGAAAATATTCAACATGGTGCTCAGTTACGAGTGGTGTACCACAAGAATCCGTTCTGGGTCCTCTTCTATTTGTGATTTTTGTAAATGATTTGGATGAAGGAGTGGAAGGGTGGATTAGTAAGTTTGCGGATGATACGAAGGTGAGTCGCGTTGTGGACAGTGCAGAGGGCTGTTCTAGGTCACAAAGGGACATTGATAGGATGCAGAGCTGGGCTGAAAAGTGACAGATGGAGTTTAACCCTGAAAAGTGTGAGGTGATTCATTTTGGAAGGACAAACTTGAAAGCAGAATACAGGGTTAACAGAAAGATTCTTGGCAGTGTTGAGAAGCAGAGGGATCTTGGGGTTCATGTCCACAGTTCCCTGAAAGCTGCCACCCAGGTAGATAGAGTTGTTAAGAAGGCATATGGTGTGTTACCTTTCATTAATAGAGGGATCGAGTTTAAGAGCCATGAAGTTATGCTCCAGCTATACAAAAGCCTGGTTCGGCCACATCTGGAGTATTGTGTCCAGTTCTGATCGCCTCATTACAAGAAAGATGCGGAAGCATTGAAAAAGGTGCAGAGGAGATTTACCAGGATGTTGCCTGGAATGGAGGAAGGTCTTACGAGGAAAGGTTGAGAGAGCTAGGGCTTTTTTCTTTAGAACGACAAAGGATGAGAGGTGACTTGATAGAGGTGTACAAAATGATCAGAGGTATAGATAGAGTGGACAGCCAGAGACTTTTTCCTAGGGTGGAGGTAGCTGTTACGAGGCGGCACAGTTTTAAAGTGAGTGGAGGTAGATATAGCGGAGACGTCAGAAGTAGGTTCTTTACTCAGAGGTGGTCAGGGCGTGGAATGCATTGCCGGAGAGGGTAGTGGAGTCGGCCTCATTAGGGGCATTTAAGCGGCTATTAGATAGGCATTGGATGATAGTATAAAGGTTGGAGGTTAGATAGACCTTAGGATTAGGGTAAAAGTTTGGCACAACATCATGGGCCGAAGGGCCTGTACTCTGCTGTACTATTCAATGTTCTATGTTCTATGTTAAACGTGGGGATGCACGTGGAGCCGAGATTGGAGGAGTGCAAATGTCTGGGCGCTGTAGGAGATTACAAAGATAAGGAGGAACGAGAACATGAAAATATCCTCTATCTACTGGGCTGTGTACTGCAGTCTTCCAGTATGACAGCAAGGCCTTCTCCATCTCCCATCTTCTCAAAAGCGTTTTTAAAGAAATTCCCCACTTTCAATCCTCTGTTTTCCCAAAATGCCATGTTCTAGTTAGTTTCTTGTAAAACTATTGATGGAACCTTTTTTACTGCAAATGTTGTGTACTTCATAGAATCCCTGCAGTATGAAAGGAGGCCATTCACCCATCGATTCTACACTGACCCTCTGAAAAGCATCCCACCCAGAACCCCAATTCCTGTAACCCTGCATTTCCCATGGCTAAACCTGCACATCCCTGGACACTATGGGCAATTTGGCATGGCCAATCCACCTAACCTGCACATCTTTGGACTGTGAGAAGAAACCCACATGGACACAGGGAGAATATGCAAACTCCACATAGACAGTCACCTGAGGCTGGAATTGAACCCAGGTCCTAGGTGCTGTGAGGCAGCAGTGCTAACAACGGAGTCACCGTACATCTGCAAGTAAAAGACAGTAGGAGCCACTGAGGGCTTCTGGGGAGCATGGGGGAGATGTAATGAAGGCAGATCCATGCTGTGTGGTTGGACTAGATGCTTTACTCAGCCCTGGCACTTTCCTGTCCTCTACTTTCAGCTGGGGAAGTGGGGGAATGGATCTTAACTCCTAGAGGAAGTCGGTGCCAATCTTTCCAGCAAATTTCTTGGAGATTTTAACAAACTGGCCTCAAATGACAGGATAAACTGATTACTGGCTGGCAGCAAATGGAGGCGGTGGAGAGAAGGAGATGATGTGTGAGAATCAGACTTGCTCAAGAGCATCAAGAGACATCTGTCTGTCAGCAGCAGGTTATTTCTGAGAGTGAGCGCATTCACAGGGTCACAGAGTCATACAGCATGAAAACAGACCCTTCAGTCCAATTTGGCCATGCCGACCAAGTTTCCCAAACTAAACTAGTCCTATTTGCCTGTGTTTGGCCCACGTCCCTCTAAACCTTTCCTATCTATTTCGCTGTCCAAATGTCTTTTAAATGTTGTAACGGTACCCATGTCTATCACTTCCTCTGGCAGCTCATTCCACATGCACACCACTCTCTGTGTGGAAAAAGTTGCCCCTCAGGTCCCTTTTAAATCTTTCACCTCTCACCTTAAACCTACACCCTCTAGTTTTGGACTTCCCTACCCTAGGGAAAAGACCTTTGCAATCACCTTGTCTATGCCTCTCATGATGTTATAAACCTCTATAACGTCACACCTCAACCTCCTATGTACCAGGGTAAATAAGTTCCAGCCTATCCAGCCTCTCCTTATAACTCAAACCCTCCAACCTCAGTAACATCCTTTTAAACTTTTTCTGCACTCTTTCCAATTTAACAACATCCTTCCTATGGCAGGGTGGCCAGAACTGGTGGTTTGGGTGGGAGTGGCTCAAAAGGAAAATGGAAGGGGCAGTGGTAGCAGAGAATCTGAACCTTTCTTGTTGAGTTGGGAGAATTGCATGATTCTGCTTATTTACTGTCCAGAGATCAATACTGCACCAAACCAGCAGCATCAGGTAGGAGGCACTAAAACAGTGCGCGCTTGTGTGTTCCCACACTAACCTCTTCGCAAAAGAGGGGAAACATAAGAGGCCAACTTTTCAACACAGACAAAAGCTTGTTGTTCATCATCTTCCTTTGGCTCAAACATTCATCCATCTTCTCTTTGAAGAGTAGAAGTAGGCCATTCAGCCCATCAAGTCTGCTCCACTATTCAATGGCTGAGTCGATGGTTATCAGATCTTATACCTTATTATCTTACGGTCTTTAAAGTTGTTGCCTTCAGCTTTGACCAATTCCTTTAGGAGATTATTCCATGCTGTGACCTGACAGTGCTCTCCAAGTATTTCAGTTTGATTAAATCAAAACCAAAATCAGCAGAAATCAAACTTGGGTAGATTCCTGATCCACAGTAATATTTCACACTTGGGTGGCAGGTTGAATACCTACCCCAATAAGTGAGAGATGCTGAATACAGTTAATAATTCAATTTTTAATAACATTTTATACACGATGCCAGCATCCTTACTCTGAAGTCCTACTCTTCCTTAGTCAACAGCACTCTTGCCTCTAGGTCAGAAATTGTGGGTTCAAGTCCCAGGCCAGGGTCACAAGAATCTAGGCTGACCCTCCAGCGCAGTATTGAGGCAATTACCTCACTGCCAGAGATGCCACTGTACTGTTGAGTTAGTACATTGAGTCCTGACTTGCCAGCTGATTGACAAAGATCTCAAGGCACATTTTCAAAGAAGAGCTAGCTCTGGTGTCCACGTCAGTATTATCGC